AGTTTGTGCATGCATATATGTGTGCATGTGTATGTGTGTGCATGGATTTGTGTGGATGTCTGTGTGCACGCATGTGAATGTGCATGCACGCATGGGTCTGTGTGCGGCTACAGAGCGGGAGTACTGCCCTGTGACCAAGGGGTGTAAGCAGGATGGGGTGCCAGCACAGAGGATGGGCAGGAGCTCAGACAGACGGACAGACAGCGGGCACAGGGAGGGAGCAGACCCCAGTGCAGAGCGAGGAGTGACAATGTGAGCAGAGCAACTTCCTTTCACCCAAGTGTGACAGAAGCCGGCTGGAGCCACCTGCTCCGCAGCGGAGTGATTCGGGTGACCCACGGGTTGCACACCTGCATCTCCCCTGGATGAGTCCAGACAACTGGGCACTGTGTGGCCACGACTCCTGGCAGTGTCAGGACGGCAGTGGTGCTGATCCATGCTTTACTCATCACAGAGGCCACACAAATGGCAAATCCCTGCGTTGCAAAGGCTGCTGGTGGGGCTTGAGATGGCTGCACCACCCTCTCCCTGGACTCTCTTAGAGTCAATGGAGTTTATTACATTAACGTTATTTCCTCCCTCTTTCTGAAGAGCATCTTCTTGGCAGTGCTGCTTTGCAAGCGAGGAGTCAGCCTCCGTCAGGGGTAGGGTCTCAGCAGCAGGCTTTGCTTGCCCAGTGGTGGGAGAGGAAGCCCCCGGCACCCCCGTGGCTCCCCTGCCAGCTTCTCCACTGATGAAGGACGAGAGGTAGAAGGTGGATAAGGGCAGGCGGCTTCTCTGACCTGAACTCTGAGGGGGGAGCAGCAGCAGGATTTCATCAGCCTGCCTCTTAAGGCAGTGAAGTCTCCATCCCCTCCCACGCTCCTTCCCCAGCCCAACCTCATCCGGTGCAGGGGTGGTGGGACTGAGCCTTCATCTAGAGCTTCCCAACAAGCCGTAAGTCCTTCTTGGGTTGGAAAATCAGTTTTCACCTCTTGCAGTTTTATGGTTGCACTGTCAGCCCCTTTGCACAGCTGATAGAGTTGGAGCTGGGATTGATTTTTAGGGTTGGCTTTGCTTCAAGAGAAGGGAGAGAGGATAGCCCTGCTGATGTCCCCCCAACAACTGGGCAAAGGGGCCAACGTGGGCTGAGGAGCTGCCGGTATTACTTGTGAGTGGGAAATGGGACAAAGAGTGCTTGGGAACCCTGGAGGAAGGTTGGGGAGAGATTTTGGGTTGTTTTCCAATGGAAAGGCTGTGGTTGGGGCAGGGTGGGAGTGAGGGTGCAGAGCCATGGTGATCAGCAGCATCCTGACACCAATGGGGAGAGTGGTAAAGGGAGTGGGGTCAGCAGAGGGGTTGGGAAAGTGTCCCGCATACCTCCATGTCTCTCTGCAGCCATGAACCCCTATGTCAACTGCTCTGGCCCTGAGTTCTCCCTGGCCCAGCAAGACTTTCCCGTGGAGCCTGTCAACCCTGATCTGTACAACAGGACTCACCCAGAGACCTTGTTTGACCCCAAAGATGCCAACCTGACAGAGGAGCAGCTGCGGGACAAGTACCTGGGACCTCGACGGTCCAGCTTCTTTGTCCCAGTGTGTGTCATCTACCTGTTGATCTTCATGGTGGGGGCTCTGGGCAACGCACTCACCTGCATTGTCATCCTCCGGCACCGGTTCATGAGAACGCCCACCAACTACTACCTCTTCAGCCTGGCCATGTCTGACCTGCTGGTGCTGCTGCTGGGGATGCCACTGGAGCTGTACGACATGTGGAGCAACTACCCCTTCCTGCTGGGTGCCAGTGGCTGCTATTTCAAGACACTGTTCTTTGAGGCCGTCTGCTTTGCCTCCATCCTCAATGTCACGGCCCTCAGTGTGGAGCGCTACATCGCTGTGGTGCACCCACTCAAGGCCAAGTATGTGGTGACCAGGAACCATGCCAAGAGGGTCATCATCACCATCTGGGTCTTGTCAGTCATCTGCTCCATCCCCAACACCAGCCTCCATGGGCTGCAGCCTCTCTATGTGCCAGGACGGGGACGAGTGCCCGATTCGGAGATCTGCACCCTGGTGAAGCCGCGCTTGACCTACAACCTCATCATCCAGATTACCACCATCGTCTTCTTCTTCCTGCCCATGGGGACCATCAGCATCCTCTACCTACTTATTGGCCTGCAGCTCAAGAAAGAAAAGATGCTGGAGGCCTTGGGAGCCAAGTCTGGTGGCAGCCATGACTGCCCCAACACCCAGGGACAGAAGAAAGTCAAGAGGAGGCAGATCACGAAGATGCTGTGTGAGTCTGACACTGGGGAATCCAATTCTGGGGATGGGAAGAACCAGGGTGTATCTCCCAAAGCTGTGTTGCGAGGATGCTGAAGGAAAACTGAGGCTGGGTCATCCCAGAGGAAGACTGCAGGGCTCACTTGTGGGGTGTTGGGGCAAAGGATCTGATGGCTCCAGTCCAGTGGTGAGGATTGCTCATGCCAGCTACCTCCCAGCCACAAGACCTCCCTTTCTTAAGGACAGTCCTGAGTGAGAAAGGAGGTGGGTTGGGATGAGGGAACCTGCTCCCTGTTCCCCAGCCCAGAACTTGCATGCTGGTGGTGGTGGTGGTATTTCCCAGAGAGGCATCATTCCTATCCAGCCCTGCAGCAATATCCCAGGGCAATGATGCACTGACCCATGGCTGGACTGGAGCATCCTTCCATGCCACTGCTCTGCACTCTTGCTCCCCTTCCCAGCACTATCCCTGCAGCCTCTGGCCCCCTTCCCAGCAGTGGAAGCTGGCTGCTCGTGGGTAGCCATCTCTTCCTGGCATGCTGACCTTTGCGTGCTCCCAGCCCCATGATGGCACAGCTATGGCAGGTTGCCCAGCTCAGTCCATCACTGGGGCCAGGACTGCTTCTCTGCTGTATCTCAGACAAGTGGTTACTCCACTTCCCCCAGCACCAGGGCTGGGAAGGGGACAAAGGAGGGCCTGTCCACATGTGGCATGGAGGTGCTGCATGGCATGGATATGGCAGGACAGGGGAACCAGAGACCACCCTACATCACCCCATTTCCTCTCCATTGGCAGAGCTGGGTTATTAAAACAAACCAAAACCAGAGCACAAGGGAAGGGCACAAATGGCTCCTGCTCCTTGGACTTTGCCAGTGAAGGTGGCAGAGTTCCCAGAGACTGGATGCCCACAGGGGCATCCCTGATCTCTGCTGCATGTCTCCGGGACTATGGCAGGGCCAGCTGCCTGCAATAGGGAGTGGAGACCCATGGTGCAGCAGTGCCTGGAGCAGCCCTGGCAGGAGATGGAGGGAGGGAGATCCTGTCCAGAACTCTAGCCCCTCCATGGCTAGTCAAAAAGACACTGAGGGAGCCCTTCCCTTCTTCCCCTTCCTCTCTCCTGTGCTTTTTTGGGTGTTCTTTGCTATGGCTGAAGCTGAAACAGGGCAGTGCTTGCGAGGGACTGGAGGTCCCTGGGGGAAGAACCCTGTTCTCCCAGTAACACTGTCTCCTCGGCTCCCCACAGTTGTGCTCGTGGTGGTGTTCGGGATCTGCTGGGCCCCCTTCCACACTGACCGCCTTGTCTGGAGCTTTGTCTCCACCTGGACCAGCCATATGCTCCATATGTTCCAGTACGTCCACATCATCTCAGGTGTCTTCTTCTACCTGAGCTCAGCTGCCAACCCCATCCTCTACAACCTGATGTCCACCCGCTTCCGGGAGATGTTCAAGGAGGTGATGTGCCACCCCGGCCACCACGTGCTGTGGTCACGGAAATACTCTCCCAGCATCACCCACGCCACCACCCGCAGCACCGAATGTGAGCCCATGCCCAGTGCCAATGGGCTGCCTCTCTCTGATGCTGAAGAGTATGAGCTAGAGGAGGTGGAGAGGGGCCAGGCCACCACCCATGCAACATCCCTCTGCTGAAGAGTGTGAGGACACAGGGGAGCTATGACCAGCTTTCCTCCTCGCCATCATCCGTCTGACCATGGCACCCATCTGGTGAGGGGGAGCAGGGCAGGAGCCATGCAGGGGTCCCCACCTCTCTGTGCCATCCTGCTGGCATGTGAAGGCTGGCTTTTTCAGCAGTGTTGCTTCAGGGACATGGCAGTGGTGGCCATGCTGTGCCCTGGATGCATTGCATCCACTGTGCTCTGCACTGGGGCTGGCCAAAGCCAGGGCATCACCTGTGGTGTGGGAATGACTGGCTTCTACAGTAGGGCTATGCCAGCAATCCTCCAAAACATCCCATCCCCCACAGCCCAGCGAGGTGAACCCATGGGTGCAGGTGTTGGGGGTGTTAGGCACCCCAGGCTGTTTTGGGACACCATGCTGGATAGAACCCCCAAGAGGCACTCGCACTCAGGCTGACACCCATGGAGGTGGGAGAGGTTTGCATGGGATGGAGTGGGTTAAAAATGGTCTGTGGGTGCCTTCTCCCTGGAGACCTCCCTACCCACCTCTGGCACTGATGTGCCCCTGATTTTCTTGCACTTCAGTGGTGCCAACCGGTGTGTGGCTGCAGGGTGCCAGTACAGCTCCCTGCTCCCAGCCTTCCTCCCGCCTCTCATCTGCAACCCCTGAGGGCAAGCGAAGCAGCACAGCCGCTCCCTCAGAATTGGAACCTGCGGGGGAAATCACAGGACAAGAGGAGCCCCAGGCTGCCTGCAGTGCTGAGGCACAGATCCATGCCTGTCCCCCTGCCCCATGAATACACACTGCTCTCTCCTCTCTGACCTGCATCTGGTGGGTGTCCTTCTCCTCTTCCTCAGTCTGCTGTGGCCCCCTGCACCCCTGGGGAATGCAGGGAGCCCTCCTCCATCTCTGCCCTGCACGGGCCTTATTGAGAATTAAAAAAGCCATTGGCCTGATTTGTGCCCTGGTTGTGTCCCTCAGGACCCAGTTTTGCTCCCAGTACAGGGCTGAACCTGAGACATCCTTGTGGGGGGTAACGGGTAGGCCATGTTCCGGGGGTGTCTCACTGGCTCTGTCTGCGGGCTCTGCTGTCATGGTGGGTCTGCAGGGCTGGATGGGCTTGGGGCAAAGCAAGGAATGTGTGAATGCGATCCATGCACCCTTCCCCATCTCCAGGACGCTCAGGCTGAGCTGGGACTGGGGCTGAGTGGGAGCTGCCTCTGGAACAGTGGCTGTTAGTCTGTCCCCAGACATGCAGCTTGAGAAATGTCACAAAAATGCCAGGGAGTGCAGGCTGGCTGGTCACGCTCTCCCAGGCTGGAAGAACCCATTGATTTACTGTCTGAAATCAATGTCACTGGCTTCCCAGCGTATGCAAGGTCTTGCCACAGGATCAAATATTGAGGCTCTGAAATGCCGCCTGAGGGGCTGTCCAAACAGCTTGAGCTCTTGCTTGCACGACTTCCCCAGCCACAGTTCCAGTCAGCTGGGGAGGCTGCCCCAGGATTGACATCCCATGGCCATACTTCTGGGCAGTGTGGAGGTGCTGATGAGACTCACCCGGGGACCTTAGCAGAAATACTGGAGGAACAAGCTCCATGTAGAGCGCTGACAGTTGCTGCTCTGCTTCTAGCTCCTCCTAAGCACATCACACAGCGCCACGGCCAGGCCAGCAACCAAGAACAGGCAGGATCTGGGGCTTGCAAACTCCCTCCTACCCCCATTGACCTGGTCCCTGGCTCGGGGGCAGTTTGGCCGGCTCCTCCTCTTCCCATCCCCACAGCAGAGTCTGCAATGGGCAAAGCCCTGCCTCAGCCCTTGTGGGGTCCTGCTGGGTGCTGCTGGGTGAGGGTGGGTATGGGGATGCAATAACTTCGCCCTTCAGGGTCCCGCAGGCTGCTCACAGCCTCTCTCTGGAGGATGTCAGTGTGGCCAAGGGCATCGAGATCCATCTCTTTCCTTCCCTCTCCAGCTCCCAGCATTGATGGTCCTGACAGGGGACAGTCATGCATAGCCCCTCATCACTGCTGCATAATTTGATAAGACTGATGCCTCCTTGGTGGCCATTATTGCACCGTCTCACTTCACCCAGACACTTCCCTGACTGCAAATCTCCAGAGAATGGCTTTTTAATAGGTGGTCGATAGCATTTTATTATGTAGCAACAGCCACCTGTGTGGAGCTTCAGGGTCCCTTGTGCTGCAAAGTGGGAGGACACAACCCCTTGCTCATGAGCGTTCGGGCTGTGTGAGGATACAGCTGTAGCTGCTGCAGCTCGAGCTATTTGGTCAGTGCCAGAGAAAAGTGTGTCCCCCCCTCGTTTTCTTTTTTCGGGGGGGGGTGGGGGGAGAGGTGTCCTGGGGCTCATCACAACTGGAGTGGAGTTCAGAACAGCCAGAAAGGTGAGGCACTGGCTTTGCCTTTACCCAGTGTTGTGTCCCCCACTGCCATCCCATGATCTGGGACTCCCCATCCTCCTTGGCTGCCCCAAATCCTCCTCCCTGAGATGCAGGAGGGGAGCGTGCTGCAGAGGCCCCAGCGTGCTGGATGGTGCTGCTGGGCCAGGGATCACCCTGAAAAGCATCCCGAAGTCTTGCCAAAGCCACATCCAGTGATGTAGCATGGCCGGTGGCACCTCCTGGGTGGAGATGTGCAGGCAAATTTTGCTCCCCTGCCCGGGGTTTTGTGACAGCATGTGGAGACAACCCTAAGTCCCCTGGAACCACATGCCAGCCGAGCTCATGAGAGATGCTGCAAAGGCTCCCAAGCAAGTCCTTTAATCCCGCAATTAATTTTAGTAGCAGCTACAGCCAGGGCATGAAACCTAGTGAAAAAGGAACTGATCTCCCAGGGGACAGTGTGTTCATTTGAGAGGGTTTTACACCTCTGCCTCGCCAGTGGCATGCCTCAGGCTTGTTACAGCCCCCAGGAAGTTAATAACAGAGCCTGTTTGCTCCCAGGACGACGTTCCCCACTGCTCTGCACCCTTGTGGTCAGCCTGGTCCCCTGCCACCTTCCAGGTATCAATTAGAGGGATTATTCCCGCCTGGGAGGTGGTATAGAAGCAAAAAGCCATGCAGGGGGGATGCAGCAGAAGCCAGGGATGGGGTGAGTTGTTCCTATTGCTCCAACCCATGTAACTGGCTGGGGGGTCGACAGGGTGGCTGTGGGGAAGGAGGATCCCAAAACACTGTCTGGGCGTTCTCAACAGCTAAATGATCCTTTCAGGACTCAAGAGAGCCCAGAGGGGACAGAGCAGAGGGACATCGCAGAGCTGGGAGCTGGGGGTGCCATTGCTCCGGGCCTTCATTTGGAGCTGGATGAAGCATCTCTCTGTCCCTGCAACATGGAGCATGTGGCCGGGTCGGGCTCCACACCACCATCTCCTCTCCACACACTGTTTCCAAAGAGCTGTTCCCCAAAAGTTGTCCATCTGTCCTCCCAGATTTACAGCAGTGTCTGTCCAACAGCCAGTTCCTGCCTAACCACCTGCTCCTGGTGCCCAGGGGAACCCTCCTGTCCCCCAACCCTGCTCAGCACCCCCATGGCAAGCACCCAACCCTCTTCCATCACCCCTGGCCCTGCACCCAGAAGACTTCCCCTCTCCCAGCAGCTTATGGAGCTGTTTTCACCCTGCACTGCTGAATGCCCTGAGTGACACAGTATCTCTGGAGCCTCCAATAAAAAGATTTATCACTGTATCTTTGGGGATTAAAAAGCAATCCATCTATGAGGCTGCCTCAGCCTTGTAAGGCACTTTTTTTTGTGTGCTGTGGTTGTTTGCAACAGGCATGGCATGTTTTTCTTTTTTCCTTCTTTACTGAGCCAAACTCTAGTTTTACAGCAATTGCCTTGTGTATTTGGAGTCATGATAGATGGCTCCAGAGAGTGCCAGAGGATTTTTTGCCGTCCCTCTCAATAAGCCAAGGGAAGGGTTGTTTTTCATGTTCTTTGCACAGCCATGCTATGGGGCAAACTCATAAAGCATGAATTTGGCAAAGGCCTTGAGTGCCTGGGAGCGAGCGGTCCCTGCCTGGGGCTGGGTCGTGGGGTGCATTTGGGCTGCCTGGCCATGGATGTGGCACAGCAGCCTTTCCCAACAAGATCCCAGCCGTTGTGAGTGGAGCAGAGAAGCAGGAAAATGTAAATGTCAGGAAACTGCAGGGATGAGCTAGGTTTGAGCTCAGCACTGATTTAGGCTGCTTTTTGAACCGTATTTCAATTCTTCTTCCTACCTCAGGGTAGTGGTGGTGGTTAAAAGCTAACACCTAGTGCCTACTGGTAATGGGCAGCACAGAGATAGGCAGGAGCACAAATGAACAGCAAGAAAAATATGGCTAGGATTTTATTCTGCTCGTCAGGAATACCTGTGGGCTGTTTTTAGCCCTGTGCCAAAGGCAGCCAATCTTCCTGCCCGGCTCCTCAGTGGCTTCCCAAAGAGGCAGGGCTCACATAGGAGCCAGGTTTCCAGGCACCCAGGGAGGCTAGGAAGAGGTGGTGTGGGGAGAACAGCCCACCACAAGGGTTTGGATGGAGTAGCTCAGCCGTGACCCCATTGCTTGGGCTGATCTGTCTGTGGTGTGGTGTGACTGTTACCTACACTTGGGATGGTCTTCTCCATGTCACAGCAAAGCCAACAGCCCTGAAGGGGACAGGCCACATGCAGGGAAGGGATGAGCTCCCGATATTCCACCTGTCCCCATCTTAGGGTATTTAGGGAAGGGACACACTGGGGCTGCAGAGGCAAAGGGCATCTCCAAGAACTGAAGGTCAGTGTATTATTTAAGGACCTCCCTGCCTGAAATCGCACTGTTCTTATGGCAGGGTAATGGGAAGGACAGAGGTGTGATGCACAGTGCCCTTCCCCATAACCTAGCAGCACTATGCAGGGACAATTTCAGGGGCAAAGTGGCCCATTGAAACCAACGGGCACTTCCATAAGCAGCACTTGGGGCAGGGTTAAAACTCCACTGCTATGGATTAGAACAGACAGACAATCTGGTTAGCCTATG